CTTGATATCCCGATTCCTAGATGGTTGAGAATCCCCCTTGGCTGTAGCTTTGCTAGCAACTTTCTCCTTTCCCTTTGGTAGCTCAGTCCTTCCTTTTGAAGTAGCCCCATCACCTTTATTATTATCTCACTTCAGTTTTCAAAAAGAGTTAGAACTCGATGAATACCTAGTTGTTCCCTTCTTCAATTGTCTTTCCATCTTCATAGCTACATGTAACATGTATTCCAACTCCATATAATGTTACAATTCTACCATATTAGCTATATCCCTATTCAAACCATTCAAAAATCGGGTCATGGTGGTCTCCCCATTCTCCTTATCATTTGCTCTAATCATCGCAATCCCTATCTCCTTGTGATAATCCTCTACACTCCTAGAACATCGGTAGAAGCTTTACAATTTTTGATAATGCTCCTGATAATAATGATTAGACACAAACCCCTTTCTCATGATAGCCTTCAATTCTTTCCAAGTATTAATAAGCCTCTCACGGTTCCTCCTCCTAAATATCATTACTTGATCGTAACAAAGAATAGCATAATCGGCAAAATTCAAGCACCACAATTTTTACCTTCTTTTCTTCCGAGTAGTTGTGGCAATCAAATATCAATTCCACTTTCTTTTCCCATTCCAAGTATGCTTCCGTATCACTCATTCTTTCAAATGAAGGAATTGTCATCTTGATATTGCCAATATTTCAATCAACACCATCTCCAACATAATCTCTATCCCTCTTTTCGTGCTTGACTCCTCTATCCATCATTCCTCCCAGCTCAACATCTACCAATGCATCCTTATTAATATCATTATCCGCTTCCCAATCATTAGCATATTCCGCTCTATGATCCTGCTTTCTTCTCTCCTTGCGTTAGGAATTTCTCTAGATTGTTCCCCGATGTAAATTAGCAAGTAATGTATCTTGCCCATCCAATATGTCTCTTATATCCTCAAACAACCTTTTGAATTATCGTATCACCTCTTCCGACATGTTGACTTGATTATTCTTCCCGCTTGAAGTAGATCCATCCCTATCAGATATCCTAAATCTAGTTTAATATTTACCTCACGTGCGTACACTTTTGTATCACTCAACTGGCTTTTTCCCTCTATTAGTCTCACCACTCTGCCTTTTTCCACTCAATGCTTTCTTGCAAGTGTTTCAAAGAATTAATTCGATCTCAATCAAAATTTAACCCTTGTGGAGTCCAAACAAATAATGGAGTAAGGAAAGTGATCTAGAATGACTCGAGAAGTTAGGAATTTGAATGAAATAATGATGAATTCAAGAAGGTATATATATATATATATATATATATATNTTTTTTTTTTTCATATTTTATGGATGAAGACTAAAAAAAATTTAGAACACGAAGAATGAAAAGATTCAGACAAAAAGGAAAATAAGTAGGATATAACCTTGATTTTTAGAGCATTTCTCTTATATCAATTGATGCGAATCCACGAAGCAATAGTAGCTATGGAACCCACGACAAATTAGAACAACCCAAGAAAGCCAATAATCAATGTTTGAAAAGCTCGATTCAATAAATTATTGAATCAAGAACCAAGACAATCGGTAACAATATTCTAACCCGTGATCACAAAATTTATGAACCTTTCTAGAATTTGTAAAACGTCACAAGAATTTAATTCTTGATAAGTTCAAAATTAAAACAATGAAGAACGAGAAGAAAGCAGTTTGCCTCGCAATAATATCTCTAAAATTTGTGTGTTTTACAATGAATAGAATGAGTCCTATTTATAGGAAACCATAAAACCTAGTTAAAAACGGAATTTAAGTCTTAAAGATATCAAAAATATAACATATAAAAGTTTTAACTAAAATAGAAGATTATGCGAAAATTGGAAAAATTCACTCTCGGAATGAACTATGCGCCCGCATAGTGTAACTCTATGCGGTCGCATAGATCAACTAAAAAGGCCCCTTGCGACTGCATGCCTGTTTATGCTATGCGATTGCATAGCTTTCCGAAATAGCTTACTCGTCCGTTACTTAAACCAAGTTGATCCATTTGGTTTCTTATTTTAAGCCCAACATGAAACTTGTACTCTTGCTTGTTGTGATCGACGTTTCGTTCAACATAGCTTGAGTAAGCAATCACATAGCTTTCTTGACTTGCTTCGCTCACGACCTAGTCATCGGTCCTCTCTCAACGATCAATGGATCCTTATCCGGACTCGCTCCTGTATCATGGATCACATCAGTCCCGCCTTGCCTCAACCAGATGGGAATGGGGGTTGGCCAAGGAGAGAAAAATACCAGACAGGGCGGTTTGCTGGAATGGCTATCTCAACCCCCTCGTTGCCATCCCTATTTTTTCCTTTCGAATGAATGTAGAAAAGAGCTCATTCCGGCATACATACGTGAATCAGGTAAAAATTTCGGTTGATTGTCTCAAACTGTATGACCTTTTCCCACTCTCATTATTGCAAGTCTGCATAAAGGTACTAGAATAAATTATATTCTCTCAAGTAGACTACATTAGGAAGGATTTCTTCGTTATGGTACCATATTTATTGGTACTTTAGATAGTTGTTTTCACTAGTATACAATTACAAGATCTGTAACAATTTCTTTATCATCAGGTTGTTTTCTTATATAAAATTCCTTACTATATTTTGACTTGAGACTATAGTCCGATAATGCAAAATAAGTTTTGTTTTTATTAGATTTCTTTATTAGAAACTGGTTGAATGTTTCGATAGGACTATTTACTCTTCCTTTTGTTTGATTAGTATTGCAAACTTAAACCAAAGAGAGAGAATGTTGGCCCGGCGTGGTTGGGTGGGTCTTAAGCATCTAATGAATGGAATTTGTCTTATCGACGGAGATGCGTTTTGATGTAGTCAATGGTATATGACTTGGAAAGAAATGCTAAATTTATTAAGCATTGCTTTTTATAGTTAATGTTGATTGCTTATGGAATAAAATAGTATTTCTTTCTTCACTATGGGCTAAGGCTGCAGGTTGTTTTCTAGCTACTTCATTAGCAGCATTGTTGGAGTTACTCTGTTAACTCCCTTCTGTTGCTTTTCTGCTATCTCTTCTTGAGGACTTCTTTGTCATCCATTTGCGTAGTTTCTTGTGTCTTTCAATTCATGTTCTTCTATGAAAGGAGTATGCATTTTTTTAATTTTTGTTTCATAGTGTCGAGTTTTATTTTTCTAAAGTCGCGGTTTTAAAAAGTTCATCGTTATTTTTTTCTTGTGAAGATTAAAAGATCCAGAGAGATGGCACGTAAATTAAGATTCTTTTTGGGATCCAATTATGAAGGCAGGGTTGTCACCTGCTGTAGGATCCTTAGGACCAACTGATCTCAATCTGGATGATCTCGTGGTATATAGATTTTGAAGGTGCTTCATTTGAATTTTTTGTTGAATGTGTTTAATGCAGTTGCTGGATGCGTTTTAGATTAAGCTTGGAGAGCTTGAAACTGAGCTGGTTGAAATAAATGCAAAATGTATCGACAAATTGATTGTCTTTTTGACCAGTCAATATAACTTGCCTATTTTGATACTCAAAATTGTCGTTTTCAATTCTCTTAGTTAAAAAATAATTTCGGGGACTCCACCCCCTATATTTTCGCCCCCACAAAATTGAAATCCTAGCTACGTCCCTTAGTTACTTCATTAGAAGCATCGTTGGAGTTACTCTGTTAACTCCCTTCTGTTGCTTTTCTGCTATCTCTTCGAGGACTTCTTGGTCATCCATTTGCGTGGTTTCTTCTATCTCTCAATTCATGTTCTTCTATGAAAGAAGTATGTGTTTTTTTATTTTTGTTTCATAGTGTAGAGTTTTATTTTTCTGAAGTCATGGTTTTACAAAGTTGATCGTTATTTTTTTCTCGTGGAGATTAAAAGATCCAGAGAGATGGCAACGTAAACTAAGATTCTTTTGGGATCAAATGATGAAGGCAGGGTTGTCACCTGCTGTAAGATCCTTAGGACAAACTGATCTCAATCTGGATGATCTCGAGGTATATAGATTTTGAAGGTGCTTCATTTGAATTTTTTGTTGAATGTGTTTAATGCAATTGCTGGATGCGTTTTAGATTAAGCTTGGAGAGCTTGAAGGACTCGACCAACTTTATTTACGTTTTGGTGAGAATGCTAAAATGATGTGCCACAATAACTTGAGGATTTATTTGTTCAACTTTATGCAAATGCGAATTTATATTGGTTTTATCATCTTGACTGCATGCATAGAGAAGGCTGAAATACAGTATTCTGTTTACTGTGGAACTAAAGTTTCCGCATTCAACATGCTCCATCTCTTTGCCATTAAGAGGAATGAGCTGTCTTATTGTGAAGGTAGGTAGTGCAGAAATGGATTCCATGTGCTATGACTGTAATCATTGGATATATGATTTTAGCCTCATTTGTTTTATTTATGCGGCCTGGCCTAGGATTTGATAGTATTTGTTGCTAGAATACTGTAGCTATTGTTCGATAGTGAAGTCTTCCCATCTAGATTCTTGCATCAAACTGCACCTTAGTTTTGAGATTTGGATTGTCACTTTCATGGGTGCCCTTATGCCAATATTTACATTCTACATGCTTCAAGAGTATATTACGCAAAATTATTGATCCGAATACTTCTCTTTTCACTGTGCAAATATGCATTTGCTATGCTATAAACATCTCATTACACCCGCATAACTCTCGAAGTATGCAGTACTCAATACTTCTTGTTGCTAGATAAGTGGGATTCTATGAATAAATAATATGCATGTCAGTTAAAATGGTATATATATCAGAGAGTAGTAGTAAATTTTCATATTCTGGGAGTGCTAGAAAATTTTCGTCTCTTAAAATTGTCCAACAAAGACAGGTGAAGAAATTGGTTATAAATAAATCTGGATTTGTCTTGAACAGAACAATTGCTAGAATTTTTGGGGAAACAGAGTAAACTAATAAAGTTGCACTGGTTCTAATGTAAAGATTTAGCAAGAATCCCATATCAATTGCAATTGATATCCCTACTGTGAGGTGCTAACAGCTGCAACAGTTGAAACCATGGAATCCACTCCACAAATATTACGGCCACGACAGATTTTGTAATATCCTTTCTCTCCCCAATTCTCTCCCCAAGAGTTCTTAATGATCCAGTATGGCTTCTCTTTCATACGAATGGGAGCATACCCTGCCGATCCATATCCGACTAACAACACCCCGTGATCCAACCGCTTAGAACATATGAGTGGGCATGAAACTCCTCCAACATACGTCTGCATATAGACAGCATTGATTGCCACTGCATCAAAGCGAATGAAACACAATGAGTTACAACCAATGTTTTTAAAGTCCAACTTGGAGATTGACAAATAATAAGAATGGTTCAACGTGATATCGACTCAATCAACTTGTGACCATTTAAACTAGCCGGTTGACACTTTCAATATAGGTTTAAAACTATACCCTAGTGCAAGTCCATTGGCGGACCCAAGGGGTTCTAGGGGTCACGTGACCCCCAACTTTTGAGATTTTTTTTTTTTTTGTTTTGATAAAATTCTGTTTGGTATCGATTGAAATTTTAATTTTAATTTTAATCAAAATTAACAATTAATTTTAATAACATATTTCATTGAATNTTCACTTTCTAATCAAAATTTCAACTAATTAGAACCTAAATTTTCATTTTCTCCTATCAAATTGTGAATATAAAATGTGTGTGAACTGATTATATCCAATTTGACTTATATTTAATGAATTGTGTTTATTTGATTGATTATTAGTATTGAATAATAGTTATGTGTTTCAACTACTTGAATTGATTGTTTGTTTGTATCAAATACACTGTAAATTTTTTAAACGTAAATATGCATTTCTTGTGATGAGCAAAATATTAATAAAATGATTGTTCGAAATCAAATAGATGAAAATGATTGGCAAAATATTAATGAAGAAAATGTATTTTAAATGTAAAACTGCCTTTTCTTGAGTCAAATATGAATCGTTAAAAAATCAAGAACGAAGTATTTGATTTGTACAGGATTTGATTGTGCCTCCCTAAATCAAAATGTATGTGTCCATCCCTGCTGGTCAGTTTCTAGTTTTTGTGATTGAACCAATTGAGTATGGCTGGCTCCTAGCTTGCCACCTCAAAAGGTTTCAAGCATATGATACAGTATGTTTTAGGAGCAGTTGTATTAAGGTAATTTTACAGCATCAGGATGATGTTGGAGAGACCAAGTACCCAGAGATGTGTCCTCCAAAGAGTAAGAAATACTGAAAAAAAAAATAGAAATAAATAATAACGAGGTAGAGAAGCCATGTTATACCTGCAAGAGGGCCATACTTGACAAGGTTTGCAGCTATTTGATCTTCATCAAGGGAGACAGCACTGAAATTAGCAACCTTTGCAGCAACCTTTTTCTTGTCGAATTTGCAGGTTCCACGATCTGTGCCAGTGTAGGGATAGTCTTCTTCTCGCATGAGTCCACCAGCTTTAAGTGTGTACTCAAATGCACTATTCATCAGTCCACCGTTACATCCTGAGTCACATGAACCTGGTTCGTCTGGATCGCACTGCACATAGGTCAGATTAAGGTAAGAAAGTGAATATTTGAAATGTCACAAATCCTAATTACACACCCAAAGGTAGAAAAATGCATAATCACTTGTGCTTCTAGTCCCTCGTTTCGACAAAGTAAATCCAAGGGGATTATGAATCTTGCAAGGTTGGTTTTGAACCCTTTTCACAACTGTGTTACTCGTATTTTTTATTTTTTATTTTTTTTGTGCAGTTCATTTGTAGATCTATTAAGGAATCTATAGAAACTCTAACACACCATGTTATTTTTGGTCTATGCCACAGTCCCCACAAGTGAAGCTGGTTTTAATAAGCACAGTACAATTAAGGAAGCGAAGCTGAAATGACAGGTTGGATCAAGAATCACTACGTGGAGGATGATGTGGCTAGAAGCCCATAGCATTCTAGAAGGAATAAAGGAATCAAATTTATTATAGATGGTTAGACATTTTTGGCATTTGTTTATAATACGGATTTCTATTTGGCTATTTCTCAACGATATTCCACAATCAAGGCAATTGGCGATTTTCGGTTGTAATTTCCTCTCAAATCCCTTTTTTTCCTACTTTTCTTATACCCACCCCCGGTCACTTGTTCTGATGTTACTTATCTTAAGTTTTTGGAAACTTGCCCCCACAAAAAATACTCCAAGCGCCAAAATTATAATGTTGCTCTACATCTTAAGTAAATAGTATTAAAGAGACTCAAGGAAATGTACGTAAAGTTAAAGAGATGAACCTCATGGTCACAATCCACGAGCTGTTGCTCACTGAGGCTCACAAGCTTCCCAGTTGCAAGAAAGTTGGCACCTTCCAATGCCCCAGTTGTGCTGAACGACCAGCATGATCCACACGAACCCTAGTTACCATTCATTCAATAACTTACCCATCAGATTCATATGCATATAGGTTCCAAATTGACAACAAAAATTTCAAATCAAAATCTCCAAAATGTCAAATTCATGGCCTTTTGACATTCTTATTTTGCGAAAGAAAAAGACTAGATATCAAACTGCAAAGCGTGCAGTGAACACTCATCTAGCCCAAATTTACGAGTTATCAACCAATAATATTTCAATTTTCTGGGCCATGATAATAGGCAAAACAAAATCATTCAGATTTAATCTCAAAAATAACTATATTAATGAAGGTTTAGATAATTGAAATAATTCATAGAAATTTCATCCAAATCTGAGAGTGCACGGACCTGATTCTTGACTGGCGCGACGGCACCATGCCCTCTCCAATCAAATTCCTTCGGAAGGTCATTGGTTGGCAGAATCGGAGCCTGCTTAGTGTCAGCGGGAAGGCGGAGATGCCGGTTGACTCCAAGGAAGTTACGGCGGAACTCCTGTGGGGTGAGATCGGAAAACTGAGTAACACCATGAACGGCGGAGGGATCAAGCTTCTGGTGTCGCTTGGCCATGCGCAGGTTAGCTTTGAATACTGAAAACCTATAATTGTGCTCCTCTTTGGTGGCGTACGCCTTCCGGAACCTCTTCTTGAATATCGTAAAATGATAATCAGCATTCAACAAATTATCATCATCAACCACTTGACGAATCAAAACATCCTCGCCGTGGACAGTGATGTCATCGTCGGCTAAGGCCAACAACCAAAACGACGACGTAAGGATGAGAGAAGAGAGAAAGAGAAAGGAGAAGCGTACGGCCATGGCTTCGTGTTGAGTATTTTCAGGAGCGTGAATGAATGGGAGTATATATAGATACAGATGAGTGTATGTATAGACTACTGGTCAGGTTGCTTGGAACCGGAGGTAAGCTTGAGCCAATGGATATCTGACACGTGGTAGAATTTGATTTGTAGAAGGAATGGTAGTTTAATTGTATGAAGATTGTTTTTTGTTTTTTTTTTGTTAGGTCATTCTCTAACAAGTTGGAACGGTTATAAGTTAACATCAATTTGTTATGGTTTTATGTTACATCATTGGACATTTGGACTGTTAATAGGAGTATTTTCTTTTTATAGTTTTAATAGGTTTATAATTCCCAGGGATAGTAGTTTGTATGTAATTTAGCCTCCGTTTGATAACTATTATTTCAAAAAAAATTATTCTACACTCATTTTTAATCACAAATTCATATAATAAAACATTTTACACGTAAATTCAAATTTTTCAACACTTTGTAACCGCACATTCTTCAAAAATTCGCTATTCAAAATTTCGATTTTGCGAAATAATGGTCATCAAACAGGGTCTTAGTTTAGACGATATGAATACAAGTGCCTAGACTCGAAATTTATGCATGTCGTTAAAAACCTAGCAAGAGTTGGTGACTTGATAAAAATGCGAGTCGAGTAAGCTGATCGATAAAGTCTAATATTGTTGATTTATAATTATTATACAATTATAAATAAATTAAATCTTATTATTTTTGGCATTTAATTGATTTATTACTATATCTTTAGAATGAATTTAAACCGATGTCAAATCTTTTGTGTCATCAATATGGGGCTTTTCGAGTCTTTTGATGTGCTTTGTTAGTGGGAGCTGTTGTTTTATTGTTTTGCTACTTAATTTTTATTTTTTTTCATTTTTTTTTTTGTTCACGAATTGATATTAATTTTATGCACGTTTGAGTTATGCACATATTGTTTTTATATCTTGTGATATGACATTGGTGACGTCACTGTACACTTGGAGCTTATGCTAGTTTCTTTCAATAGAATGTGATTGTCACTATCAAAGATATTTGGATTCAGCTTTCATGAATAGTGATGGTTAAGGGACAGATATAAAATCGGCATATGGATCACGATGTACATGTTATTGTATGTACTACACTTTAAAATTATATTGTGTTCATGTTAATCTAATTATAAAAGATATGACCATAGTATGGTAAATAAATACATTTTGATGGCTATGATTTGATTTTTGTTAATTAGGTCGAATGGAACATGTTTAAAGTTGATTATATGTTAAGCTATGATTTTCCAAACATGTGGCCACTAAAATTTTTCAAAAAACTTTTGTTGTCTAGGTAGAGTGTACATTTCTAATGTTTTCAATATAAATCAATATTGCAGGTTTTGAAAGCTCATCCAATGACCACTCATCGCCTGTTCCTCGTGAGTCTGAATTGTCGCTTGATCCAATCATCACCTTCAAGCAGGGACGGACCTGGGGGTGGCCTGGGGGGCAGGTGCCTCCCCCCTCCCCCCCCACCCAAAAAAAAAAATTTTTTTTGAAATTTTTTTTTTAATATGAAAGGAAAAGGAATGACATTCATTTCAAATCAACGTTTTCTCTCGCCCGCGTCGCCTCTTCTCCTTTTCTCTCTTCTTCTTCATGGTAAAATTAAGGTTGTATATTGTTAAATGGATACGAAAAATGTTGTGATAATACTGAATAACTGAACAAGAATAGTTCAAAACTTCAAATCTCATTTATCTTTGTTTAAATGATTTATAGTTACTCTCAAAGAGTGGAAATTGAATTGCCAAATGAAAATAATGAAAAATCTGTCTCCACTCTATAGTCATTTCAAGTTCAATCGCGACAAAGAATTCTAAAATCTGACCCAAGGAAAAAGCTAGTAGGCAAGACTTCCGTGAGCTATAGTGCTGAAACCAGTACTAAAAGAAGTCATCAGTGTAAAATGATCGTATACTTGGATTAGATCAATGAATAGGAATAGAAGAATTTTTAGTTGAATTTAGTTACGTTCTTGTAATGCATGAGATTCACGAGTGAAATTCTCAGTTGAAGTGACATTTTTTAGCCTATGAGAATCTGGTCCGACTGAATGTAATCAGAAGAAAGAGTTATGCAATATGATTGAACTTGAATGAGCAATGATTGTTTCTCGGGTATTTGATACATCGAAACTAAGTCTGGCTCTTACCATTTCCTTGTCCCTTGTTGATTTACTTGTTGCATCTGTTATATAAGTTTCAGAATTTAAGAAATATACATATAAAGATTGTTCCCTCTTTTGCAAAAATCTATGTCTTTAGGCCTTTCTCAAAACTCATACAAGGGACTTGGTTGATTTGCTTCTAGGTAAGTTTGCAGTAGGGTACAAGTGCAAATAGGTGTACAAGATTAAAATATGAGCTAATTGGTCGACTGAATGATACAAAGCTTGTCTTGTGGCATGGAGATTTACCCATGAGTATTGTATTGACTATGGGGAGACTTGCACCTATTGCATGCCTTACTTTTTTAGATCTTTCTTGCAGATGCAGCTGCAGCTATTTAGCAGTAGAGCCAGATTTAAAGGATGTGAAAAATGAATTTCTTAGTGGTAATTTAGATGAAGAAGTCTATCTCAAACCCCTTTCAGGATTCGAGCACTCACCTTCGAAGGTTTGCAGCTTTTAAAAGGCTCTTTCAAGTTTAGTTCATTGTTGGCTCAATAGGGCTTTACTTCCAGTGCATATGATTCTGCTTTATTTTTCTATTTTTATGAGGCTAATATTGACCATCTCTTACTTTATGTTGATGACATGGTTATTATGGGGGATGATCTTTCTGGCATACAGGTACTTCAACAGTTTTTTAGTCAACGGTTTGAGATGAAAGATTTGGGTTCTTTTAGTTATCTCTTGGGTCTTAAGGTGTCATCCTACTCAAATGGATATTATTTTTTCCAAGCTAATTATGCATTTGATCTCTTATCTTGTACTGGATTGATTGATAGTAAGATTGTGGATAACCCTTTGGAGACAAATGTTAAACTTCTTCCTACGAAGAACTTTTAGATGATGCCACTCTATCGACAATTGGTTGGTAGTCTCATTACCTGACTGTGACTTGTCCCAACATTTTTGGCACAGTCATCTAGGTAAATCACTTATGCATCCTCCTCGCTCTGCTCACTAAGTTGGTGTTCTTTGGTACGTTAAAGGGGCTTTGTTCCATGGGCTTTGTTTTTCTTTCCACTCATCGTTGGACCTTTAGCCATATTTTGATGCTGATTAGGCAGACGATCCTATTGATCGTCGCTCTACTACTGGATACCACTTCTTGCTCGACACATCTCTTATCTCGTAGAGAACTAAGAAGCAAACAGTTGTCTCTCGCTTTAGTATAAAAGTTGAATATCGTGCATTGGCCGATACTACATCTAAACTTTTGTAGCTTTGATGTTCTCTTTACTGGCAGTTATTCTATTTATTGTGACAATACTAGTGCCATTCAGATTGCCCACAATCAAGTTTTTTATAAACACACGAAACATATTGAGATAAATTGTTATTTCATTCGTCATCATATCAGGCGAAATACTCTTCGGCATGTTGCTTCTACTTATTAGCTTGCTAACATCTTCACCAAAACCCATTTTCATAGATGTCACTGTGATTTAATTTACGAACTTAAGTTGGCATTAGTGGTGTTAATGGGCCGAGCCGAG